ACGCGGTGAGGTTGTTGGCCCGTATATCCCGGAGGTATTGGCAAAAATATGTACATTGGTGGTCACATTCCACTATTATGTTGTGTTGCGATATTCTCTAATTTTGTTATTTTCGTATAAAATGCACTTTAGGGGTTGGATGCACAGGGGGAGATTAATCCACCCATGGTCGATGCTCCTGCAAAGGTAAATTATTAGGTGTTTCCAAAAATGGGGGGTCATAGTAAGTGCAAAATGGGTGACATATATGCGCTACTGAAATGAGTTTCATCTCTGCAGACCGATGCTGAAATATATGTTGAGAAGACCGACATGTTAACTTATGCTTTAGAGGACATGGTTCATTTCATGGAACAGCACAACGACCTCCCCCGGCCCACAGAAAGCTTTGCTAGGCTTCTGGCTGGTGCCCGGGCATTCATGCGATTGACGGACGAGGGTGGATCCTCCGGTGTGACAATTCCTGTTGGAGTGCGAGGCACCGGACTGCTGAGCGATGATGAGATGTGGACGAACCCGGCGATTTTAGATGCGGTTGTTATCGCTGCTCAACAGAATAAAGGTGATGAAGAAGTACGGCCGCCCGAGGTTGACGGGGAGGCGCAGCATAACTCCACCGAGCCTGCAGTGGAGGGTCAGTTTGCGGCGGGTGGTCAGTGCTCGGCGGCGGATGTTAGTGAACCGCAGGACGCGGGGGCTGCAGCTGGTAGTAAGAATGCTGTAAGTAAGGTGGTACGCCGGCGCAGAAAAGCTAGGCGTTATTAGGTTTTAAATATTCTGGCATGTCTATAACGTGTATATGTGGTTTGTACTTTTTTTACCCCCATCCCTATGACTGATATTATTTTTTGTTGTGTATGGTGGTATGCACGGGGGGGTTTTTAGTAATATTTTCATGGTGCGAGGACAGGTCCCCTTTTTGTGCATTAATGGTGTACGCCGAGTTAGGGCGCTATGATGTTATACTATGTTCGTACGATTATTTTTTTTTTTTTTTGAATGTGTGGTTTTACATGTGGTTGCATGCTGTGTTTGGTTGAATAGGATGAAGCGGATATTCCATCTTTCAGTCTTGGGTTGACACAGGGAGTATCTTCGGTGGGATTTGGGCTGTCGCAGGATCTACCCACCCAATGTTGGGAGGTGGTGGATGCAATTGTCCGAGAGTATGCCGCGCGTTCTCCGGATATCATGCCGCGCGGGTGTTCATCTGCCCCACGTGGTGCAGTAAGTATGCTTCTTTAAAATAATATAAGTATATAACGGTTGCCGCACACGCGATCGCGCTCAGTCGAGGAGTGATACAAATGACACGAGCTAGCGCAACTCCAGGTGTCTATGTAAGCATAACTGCTGGACCCGTGCGTTCATAATCGTGCCAATCGCGCGCAAAATAGCGGGCACACTTAGCCTTCTCGGGTGCTAGTGTGTGCGAGGGAGGGGGGCGGGGGGGGGGGGGGGGGGGCATGTGCATGGAGGCACACACGCTGGTAATGGGGCCAATGCGTGTGCAAAATAAGATAACGTGCAGGCCTGTGCGTTGCCGCTCTGGTAGATGCGCGCGTGCCAGCGTGTGGATATCAAGCATGATGCCGGTATATATGCGCGGGTAGCCAACAGCGTGTGCACCGACTAATGAAAGGGGGGGGGGGGGTCTGTGCGTCCATTGGAGACTCGGCCGATGCGTCGAGTCAGAATGTGGGGTAGTGGTGGACAAGTGTATCGTGCGTCTATGCACGCACGCATAGTGCCCAGTGCGTGGGGCGTCTGGGCTAATGCGTGTGCACGTTAGGCTATCTAGATAGTCGCACAGGGTGCATGCGCTCATCTGGTGACAAGGTATGTGCTTCATAGATGTTTAACGTGTGCGTATATTTTCACGCTGGTGCGCACTTGCTATCAGTCGTGCACGGTCTGTGCGTAGGGTACATGTGAGTGCGCAGGGGGGACACTATGGCCATGTGCATGATCAGAGTGTTTTCTCGTTTTCCCCATCACCCGTATTTATTTCGTTTTACTTTGTTTTGTAGGTAGGCGCAAAACCGAGTAAGCTATCTACTCCCCGCGCCCCTGCCACAGTTGGCCATGATGGCACTCACCGGGGAGTATCGAAACGGGGCCGGCATGAGGTTGCCATTGATAATGCAGAAAACCATTACACCTCGATATTGGTATGTTCAGTACGTTCAGTTTGGTATGATTAGATTAATAATATTAATACTTAATATGTTGTATATTTTCTTTGCCTCGCAGCAACGTTTACCGAACACCAAGCTGTCTGCCGCGATTTCCAGTCCTCCACAATGTCATGCTCCAATGAAACAGCCCCGGCAGAATTTCCCTAACGTACGCGTACTTAGGACACTAGATCTGAACTCATATAACCATCGGACACGCGCACGGGCTGCGCTGTCCCTTCCTGGCTCCAAGCCTGATGCGCAAGCAGTGTATGACTGGCTAGCTATATCCGCTGACCGTGACATGTAAGTAACAATAGCGTTGTTGTGTAGATTGTTCTAACGTAACTGGGGTGGGGGTCACACACTTTCGTATTCTTGATCCGTGCAGAGATGAGGAGTTGTTTTTATTTCGGGGATGGTCTGCACGCCGGGCTGAATTCGTATCACTGTTGGAGGGAAACGAAGTGCTAGGTGGCGTAATAAACGTTTGGTCGTGCGTGTTGAATGCCAGGGAGAGATTCAAGGCCGCGCACGCACCGTCCAGATTATTTGTGTCTGCAACCGCAATGGTAAGGATACTAGTAGCTATTTTCACCCAAAGGCAGCGGGTTGGCTAACGGTATAATAAAGTGACGTGTTTTATATTTGTATTAGTTGTACACCGCGGTTGATGTGTCGGCTTCATGCGATCGGCGACTGGAATGGTTCAAGGAGAGCATGGTGGACGAGTTGAAGGGCTCTCCATACAGCGCGTGGGACGACACTGACATTGTAAGTGATGCTCCCCATGCACATCTGGTAGTTGCGCCCCTTTTATCCCCTTAGTGCGTCCGGTGCAATAATTATTCAAATGTTATGCAGATTCTTTTTCCGATACTCCACGCTGGGCACTATTACATCATTTCAGTGGACTTCCGGCGCATGCGGCTGGACGTCATTGATAATTCGTCGGCAGGGGATCTCTCACTAGCGAAATATGGCCACACCCTTGGCACTGTGGTATGTGGGGTACGTATTTACATATGAGTGTGTTGTTAGTTTTAAATGTCTCTGTTTTGGCTGACGGTGTTTCATTTTATAGCATGAGCTGCTGCTGTCCGTCTTCTTCGAAGATGCTGGAGTAGGCGCGCTGTTTATGAAGGTCACCTAGTTGATCCCGCGGAGGGTCCGACTACCATGGCGCGATTCTACCAACAAAATAGACTGTGGCGTGTTTGCGATGCGACATATGGAGAGTCACGTGGGACAGCCGTATGCGTCATGGGATTGCGGTCTCCGTAGGGGAGACGCACGCGCATTAAGCGCTCTACGCGTTTGATTCATGGCGGATATTCTGATGTTCCATAGCAACGCCCACCGGAAATCGATTATCGCACGTGTCTCCAGCCCGGTTGGTGATGCTCCTTGATTTATTTCTGTTAATGAATGACTTTTTTCGCAAGAATTTTATGACGTTAAAATAGCGGACTTTTTTTGTGTTATGCCATGTTTGTGATTCTAGGTATTTTATAACTTATCAGTTATCTTTTTGTTGACGAACACTAAGGTGCTATGACTGGTCGGTTATACTGTTTTGTTCCATAAGGCATGATCCACGCACAGGCAGGCATGTATTACGCACAAACGATGTATGCACACGCTCATGTATATCCTAAGGATTTTCAAGCACAAGCTACACTGCCCGCGCATTTACGTAGTCCGTCAACGCACAGCATGACAGGTGCCTATCATGCAGACGAACTCTTACACCCATTTCTGTACATATGTGCACATGCCACATACACACAATGCACCTATCAGCATCGCACAGACCAGTCGTTGCCTAATACGCACACGCAGTGTCCCACACCTTAGTGCACATATGCGCACATGCAACATACACCCCACGCACATATCAACATCGCACAGACCAGCGTATCCCAACATGCACACACACTGATGCGGCATTATGTACATATATGCACATGCTACATACACCTTACGCACATGGATACAGCGCACAAACCAAGCGTTTGCCTAAAACGCACACGCATCGCCACCCTTATGAGGCGTGTGCGCATATGTGCACATACCACATACACTCCACGCAGATATCAACATCGCTCAGACCAGCGTAGCCTATCATGCACACGCACTGATGCGGCATTATGTACATATGTGCACATGCCACATACACCTCACGAACATGAATACGGCGCACAGAACAAGCGTTTGCCTAACACGCAAAAGCAGCGCCCACCACTGTGCACATATTCACACACGCCTCACGTGCCCCGAGCACACACCATCATCTCACAGATCAGCGTGGGCCTATCATGCAGTCGCACTGATGCGCCATTGTTTACATATGTGCACATGCCACATACATCCCACGCACATGCCGACAAGCGATCGGATGAGTATATAAAATGCAACGAACCAGCATCATTAGTTTATATGTAAAATAATGAACGAACAACTACATATGCATAGGTCAGGCACCATAAAATGAAATCTGATGCAACCACAACCATGCAGTTTCCGGTCATGCACAGTCGCATACGGACTACGCATAGGCAGTGACCAAAACATATTAATAATCAGATTTCGTTTTATGGCATAATTATCCTGTATAGTGGGGTTGGGGCGGTAGATGCATCATATGGTAATATCGAGTTCATTCCAAACAACTGACATTATCACTAAATTAAGTACAGATCAAAGGAGTTCATAAATTAATTCGCAAAAGTTTGGACATCAAATACGGGTGTGTAACGCCCCGTTAAGATATTATTAATGGTATCACTGTAGTCATTTCTGTGGGCAGCTTCGGCTATTGTGTCAAGTCGCAAAACCACATGTTTTGCATGTGCATTTTTTTTTGCTCAGCTCCTTCATGGCAATCTCTCTAGCAGACCTTAGTCGTTTGCCTGACCCCTTGTTGCTAACCACAGGGGGCGGGTGCACGGACACTGATTCAGGGGCTGGTGCGCCACAGTAGGACTCCATTATCGCCCGTTTTCCCCTCGCAACAGCAGCCTGTTCGTTGCTATTTTCGCACAACTGAGTTTCTAGTGACGCGAGGACCTCACCGAGGTGATGCAATTTCTGGTGGTCACCTTGTGCCAGCCCTAAGCATTTATAAAACGTGTTTACCACGTTACTCTCTGCCGAATCCCCACGTGACGACGATGCCAAGCGTTCCGACACTGGCTGCCCACCATCGGTTGGTGCCTGCTGTACGGCAGTGCGTGTCCACCGCGGGGTGACATGCTGAGGAAGTATGTTCTCAATACGCTCATACATCAAGACGGCAAACACATGCCTGCACAATAGGCCTATCCTTGTGTACAGTTGACATTGGCAGTGGGTCGTATGGGTGGCATTCTCAAAAGTCAACGTGTACCGCGCCGCGTGTTCATCCTCTACCACATAGGTGGTGACGGCGCCACCGTCGGCACATGACCGCACCCGACAATCAAAACACCCTGCCACGATCTCATGTTGGACATCGTAGAACACAGTTAAAGTGTAAAGTGATGCTGCCCTTCGTTCGATCGGCAGTGGTGTCTTAAATGGGGGGGGGGGGTCTGTGCATCGCTTGCGCCTGTAAGCTCCTTTTGGGTTATCCGCTGCTATCTGACCATACTCTCAAACCTGATGAAAAATTCAGTGAGACATATGTGCTTGTTAGTGTTGCTTCTGAAAATTCTGTTCTCGGCCTCGGAGCGAGATGTAGTACGGAGCAGCCCCCCCATAAAAACACCTTCGAAGCACGCAGGAACCCAGGATGCGCGCTCATCGTACATACGCTTGAACCACGCATTGTCAGTCAGCCCATATTTCTCAATAACACTGCACCATGCCTCCTCGAAATATTCAGCTGTCACGGTGTCGTTCCAAACAATGACATTCAGCTCCTTTTGGAACTCCTCGTTCCAGGCCAAGTCATGGCTTACTTTGTCCCCCACCTTCGTCATTATATGCCACATACAATATCGGTGGCGAGTATCCGGGAATTCCTTCGCGTCCGCGACCTTCATTGCAGGGTCTTGATCCGTCATTGCGATAGGTGGCGCACCGCCCATAGCGGTCTTGAAGTGTCTTAATGCCCAACAGTAGGAGTCCACGTCCTCCCGCGAGATGAGGGCTGCTGCGAATGTAACACATTTCTTGTGGTTGTCGACGCCGGTGAACGGGACAAAGACGAGGTTGTACCTGCCAAGATGGGGACACGAAAAATAGATAGTAATTAGTGGACGAGTTCATACCGGAAAAGCAAATCAGCCCAGGCGTATGCACACGCCAAATACCAGTCGCGCGAAGCACATGTCACATACTCCCAGATTAGGCGTATGCACAGACCATACGCACACAACGTTACGCACAAACAACACCAAACAAATGCATAAACCAACGACGCAACTACTTTGCTGTATGCATTCTATTAAATTGGGATGAGTCACATCGCGAAATTAATATAAACTGTCACGGTATTAACGTATGCCCAATGACGTGCCTATTAGTTTTGTAGGTTGTATCAAACGAAACGACGTCCCCAAACGCACTGTATTGTCTACGTGCGTACCCATCCGCCCAGAAAATTCGTGTCAGTTGGTCCGCTTCGTTCGCCTCGTATTCGAAGTACATGTCACTGTAATCGCCCTTAATATCTAGGTATTTGGACAGGACAATCTGACAATCCCCTAAGTGCATGTATGCCAACACATCCCTCCGGTAGTTCTTGAAATCTAACTGTGTAGCTCCCACGTTCTGTTCTCCCCCAACTAGCTCCGCGTATATGCTGAAACTCTTACTTGCTCCGACGTTGACCTTGGCGCAGTTGGTTATGAACTATTGGTGACCAATATCAAGCTTCCTGTTGACCTTGAGGAATGGATTGTAGCCCTCAGCGCACAAGCAGTGTGTGTGCCTCTCTTCGAAGGTCCTCACAGCATAATTGCCGGCAGCATTCCTCTTGAACACAATCCTGGCCATGCATCCTACTCGGTTCGACGGACGTCGGCGGGTGGGTTTGGACACTAGTCCCGGGCTAGTGCTCACTGACGGTCTCGGCTGTTTGTAACCTTCACGGTTACAGACAAGTTTTTTCTTCGTTATCGCACCACGGGCGTTCCTTTTGTCTGAACTTCGTCGCACATCAAAGCCACTCACAGAGGCATAGTTATTGTAGAAGGAAACCCCTTCTTCCAAAGACGCAAACAACTGCCCTACTACCGGTTTCGTGGTTTGGTCGCATTCCGGTAACCAAAACTGTGTCCCATTCGGCGACGCCCCCATGACACAATGATCTGCATCAACCGCCTGTTCCATACCTAGAGCACATGCCACACATGCCACAGTTATTAACGCTATACAATATAACTATACATAATACAGATAAAAAAAAAATTCAGTCAAAAATGTACAAATCTAAATGTTGCCAGTCTGCACGCACTAGCTCTGAGCTGTATACGCACCAACCATATACATCTAGCTCCGACTTTGTGTTACGCACCAACCTTAAGATGATAGAGTCGTCTGTACGCTCATCCTCCATCCCACCCCCCCCCCCCCCCCCCCCCCCCCCCCCCCCAACCCCTCAACTCATTCAGCGGTGAGTTGTCTATGCACCAACCGGATTGTACCTTATTCCCCCACGGTCAGCCATCATTACCCACAATATGCACATACAATAACTCCTACGCGCACTAAACAGCACACAACTTATACTGCTACCATCTACCGACAATGCCCCACCCCAACGATCACAACGCAGCCCTACATTGCGCGGGCCACACACCATTATTTTTAGACCGGGGACAATGAGCGCGGGAGAATATGCACACGCAACACATGAGGAACGCACATACCTGCAAAGGGGTCACCGGAGATCGTTGGTGTTCACTATGCACTTACCGTCCTTAGCTCTTCCACTCAGAGCTTGGTAACGCCAGGGTACGTGCATCAGCCATTGTAAAGCTGATAAGCAATTACGTTTGGTTGGAGAACCCAATGCGTGGGATGATTCAGCTCCCGATCATAAATGGTGCATTAATTATTAACAATCATCCAATTACCATTATATCCCTGTGGTTGTGGAATAGATTTAATTACCACCTAAATTAACTACAATCTTGGCCATCCATTATAATAAGATCAATGGACATTACAAGGCGCTCATGGCCTCATCTAAAATAGGGGATGCACAAGATTCGCAGCCTATATATATATATATATATATATATATATATATATATATATATATATATATATATATATATATATATATACATATATGTATATATATGTATATATATATGGAGAGGTGATCACATGTGGCCATGTTGTTAGGTGTTGTCATATGGTCAATTATAGGCCATTAGATTAAATAGATCCAATGAATCATATTAATCAAGATTTTTTTCAGTATTTTCGCGCACATTCTCCTACCCAGCGAACTGTCAGGGTAAACTCGTCATAAAACACCGGAATAGGGAAAATCACATTGTTGTGTGTTTTATAACACTATTAGTGCATGTTGTCAACACTGTTGGTGTATTCTAGAACCCGACCGCTATAAATGGCCACTGTAATTACCATAACATGGGAATACACTATTGGTGTGTTTCACTATGGTGTGTTTTATTACACTATTGGTGTATATTGTCAATACTCTTGGTGTATTTTGGAACCCGCCCGCTATAAATGGCCATTGTAATTACCATAACACCCCCACTTACTAAAACGCGTGAAAATTCTCAGAATTACCACTGCCGTTAGATTAAACTGATTCAACGATACAGATACGACCACACGGCCACACCTAATGACATGACCACATATGAGTGCTCTTCTATATATATGTATATACATATATACATATATATATATATATATATATATATATATATATATATATATATATATATATATACATATATATACATATATATATATATATATATATATACATATATATATATATATATATATATATATATATATATATATATATATATATATGTATATGTATGTATATATATGTATATATATATATATATGTATATATATGTATATATATATATATATGTATATATATATATATATATATATATATATATATATATATATATATATATGTATGTATATACACACACACACATACATATATACACACACACACACACATACACACACACACATACATTTCTAATTCTATATTTGATAAGCATAATTTGTGTATGTATATACTTTAGGAAAATATTCATTATTAAAAAGGGAATATAATTTAAAAAGTCAATTATTAATTAGATTGCCTAATATAATTGTCCCACTAATTGATTCCATGCTACTATAATTCATATAGTTAAAATTTTTTAAAATTAAATACATATTAACAGGCCTTAATAATTAAGTTAATTATTAGTCATATCTATTGTATTAAAAGTATTAATTTTAATTTTTATAAATAAGATATAATATTATTAAATCAAAATAAGTAAAAATAATTTATTCATAGTACAAAAGATTATATAATTAACTATTAATTTTTATTGCCTAATTCAAATTGTCAATTATTAAATATTATTTATGGCAATTATTTTATATATATATATATATATATATATATATATATATATATATACACACACACACACACACACACACGATGTCGGTTATTTATATAAAACAAACCTTCATTTTTCTTGTTTTTTTCTTTAAAATTTAATATAGGACATAGGTTTTCTTAAAAATCCGATGTCGTTTGTTGTTGTTTTTTTTTTTAAATTTATTAATTATATCTTTATGATTTCCCACCAAACTTGTACAATTTTACAATCCACAACAATTTTCAGAACCTGTCTAGCAATTTGATATTCAAAATCTCACAATTAAACAAACTAATAAATACTACAATTAATCTCAAAAGGCAACTTAGACCTTCAATTAAACAAGTTAAATTAATAGTAATTCTACATGATGGGGTGAGGACCCCGGCCCAAGAAGAGGGGCCCACGAGAGAGGAGCCCAAGAGAGAAAAAGCCCAAGATAGAAGACAAGGGTTAGTAAAAGAAGAAGCCCAATGAGGACCCGGGCCGAGTCCAGGAGTCGGTCCGGGCCCAAGCAAGGAAGGAGACTCGGCCCAGAGGCCAGTAAGAAGCATTCAAGTCGGTCTAAGAGCCGTTGAAGGAACACTCAATGCGGCATTCAAGAGGACTCGGTCAAAACGGCCGTTAAGAGGCCAAAAAGCCGTTGGTCGACTCGGTAACAGCGACCGAACGGTCTGATAATGTAAATAGCCTTGAAAGAAATGATTAATGTACTTCAATTCGAATGGATGGGAGCTTGCTATATAAAAGCCCCCTCCACACTTATAAAGGAGGCGAGTCCATGCCTAGAGAGTAAGATACACACACACTTTCTAATCATCCGACTACTCATCCCCGCGATCACTTTTTGAAAGGTGAATCCACCAACCAAAGGTTGTGTTGGACCTCCTTGGGCCCGAAAACCCAAAAACCAACACTGCAATTGATAATAATAATAATAATTCCAAACTTAAAATTATTAACATCAACTAAACATCAAGTATTGTTTGAACCCATTCATCAATAAGATACTTTTAACATACATCTCTAACCTCATCAATCTCTTTGTTGATTGTAATACATCTCTAACTTCATCAATCTAGCTCTTTGTTGATTGTATGACAAACTTCCTTGTTTCTCTAAATGCTACAAAATTGATAAGAGATAAGCAATAAATAAGCTAGTATTATAAAAAATTTGAAGGAGAAAGATATTTTATTAAATTACTTGTGTTGTTCATTCCTTTGAAGTATTGGTTGGAAACAATTTCCAACATAAATTTCATCACATAATAGCCGCATTCGGTAGTCCCTCTTTGTATGTCACAATACATTTGAATTACAATACAATTAAGAATTTTTTAATGAAAACAATAAGATAAATGTAGTTTTACAAAGTATATGAAGTACTTACCGAACATGTACTCAATTTTGGTGCACGACTTGATTTCTTTCCAATCAACATGCTTGCTGCAGTGACACACATTAATATAAGACATAAAATATATGTAAGTACTTGACATCACTATATCAATAATAACTATTACTTATTTATAAATTTGCATACGTTTCCATTATCTCTTTAATGTCATCACGTGGCGGGAGACCAATTTAATCAAACCAAAAAAATTCATATAATGGAGGACAAAAACTGCCATCAGCATTCAATGCCCACTAAAAATAAGTAATTTATTAGTATTAACTGAATATAATATATAATATAACTATATAATTGTATTTAAAACGTAATTAATACTTACTTGAGAACATATGAGGCTAAATAACAATTTTTCTTTCCAGATTGCATGGTGGCATTTATATACGCTACTTTGTCTTCTATACTCATCATTTTTGGTTGAATATATTGTGAATCTTGGAAGCCATACGTGGTTCTTGATTCCAAACCAAAATCTTTGTAAAGACCCCTATACACAATCACAATTAATTATATATATTACTAAAAATTATGATGATATATAAAATTAAAACTATTATAAACAAATAATACTAAAGAACTTATTACCATATAAAGAACTGAAAAAGAGAAATATTGATGGTCTCCATTTTTAAGGAACACATGATCTCTTGACCCTCAAGCTGCAAATAATAAGTAATGTTGCTCATAATACCACGAGGCATAGGAATCACAATATTGTGTTTAAGACTACTGGCTATTCTATATGCCCTTTTGGATAGAGTAGTACTCAAAGACTCCAGATCAGCTAAACTGAATTCATGATGATGAGATTGCGCAACCGGTTCAAAAGTCAATTTGACATTTCCTTTTAACTGTGCATTCTAATATAAGCAAGAATTATTATTTTTAAAGAAGCAACTTACATACTATTTTAGAATAAAAATATTTACAGTGTACATACCTCATTAGCTTCAGTACATAACTCTACTAGCTTCTTTGGCCGAATAATAAAGTGTTGATATGCATCACCTAAACGTTGAACCTCACTGGTGGGGATTGGTACATTTTCACTTGGATCAAGAACTTTATCTATGCTCACCTTCACTTGATTTGCATCTAGTACAACCCTGTGAACCTGTCCACCAGTGTAAGCTGTCCCATATGTCACTGGACGTCTAATGTGATCTTCCAAAAACAATTGACATCGTGCCCCTAACTTTATTAATTCTTAATTAAAAATCATATAAAATGGTATTAATAAATAATAATAAGATTAACTATAGACAATTACTTACAATTGGTAAATCAGCAAAAGGGTCTGGAGAA